GGAAGGTAAAAGAGGTGGTACGGCCTGGGCCCTGGGCCCTAAAGAGCGCTCCCCTCCCTCAAAGAAGGTCAGGCCTCGACGCCAGCAATGCAGCAGAAACCTAAAAGAGGGGGTGAGCTCCCCACTTGCCCTTCTAGGCCTCACCCCCCCAACACCACGGGACCCTGACCCCCTCGGCCCTGCCAGAGGCCGTCGAAGGCTGGTGGGCATTGGCTCCCTGGGGAGGCCTCAGCCCTGAGATGCAGCCAGAGGGCTGGAGGGGAGGTGCCTCCTTGGGTGTCGAGGCCAGAACCCAGGGCTGCTGGGCCAGGACACGGTGGCGGTGGTAGGGGGTACCCAGTCCCCTCAGTGTCCCTTTGCTTTCCCCTGGGGCCCAGTCTGACAGATATAAGGGTCTCAGATCCAAGTATAGAACAAGGGGAGGGTCACTGGGGCCTGGCCCTCGGACAGTGCAGGCAGGAGGGGCCCACCTCAGGGACACCCCCCTCCCGAGGCCCCTATTCTCATGCCCCACCCCTTGCTGCTCCCCTGGCTCCTCCCCCCCTTCCCCGACCTCTCAGCACCTTGTGGCTTCCACCCCATGGCACTTGGCCAGAGCTCCCTCGGGGCTGGTGACCTGAGGGCCCACTGCTGGGCTGTGCCTCCCGCTACTCCAAACCACTGTCCCCTCCCTCCTAGGACCCTCAGCACCAGCCAGCAGCACCCTCCCTGAGGGCCAGGTGGACTCGCTGCTCTCCATCATCTCCAGCCAGAGGGAGCGCTTCCGGGCCCGGAACCAGGAGCTAGAGGCTGTGAGTCACATCCTTCTCTCCCCTACACTCCTTGGACCTGAGGACACCGTAGAGGACACACAAGCTTGGGGGAGAAAGATGTGTCACAGACCATAAACCTCAGTGGGATTAGATTTGTTCTGTGCAATCAGGGAGGGCTTCTTAGAGGAGGTGATGCCACGCTGGGCTTTGAAAGAAGATTCAGACATTCAAGGTAAAGGAGTGAGTGGGAACATGGGGGCCAAGGAGCCGGAAGGGAGTGCAGGGACAAAACAGAGAGTCGCCAGGCAAGATCCCTAGTGCCAGGCTGGGGCGCCACCGAAGGGTTTAAGCAGGGGACCAACACTGCCAGGATGGATGGTAAGAAGGTCGCTCAGGCAGCCAGTTCAGGACAGAAGCCTGGCCCAGGAAGACGATTTGGGGGTGGTCACCATCGTCCAGGAAGAAACATCTCAGTCAGGTGGGTGTTAGCAGGGGCAGGTCCCAGGGAAGAGAGTCTTTGAACCCTATGAAGAGGAACAGTGTACAGATGCCAGGAGCTCTGTGGGGTCTGAGAGAGCTTGCTGGCTGCTAAGCACCCAGCTGGTGGCCCTCCTGGAGGAACCCCATAGGGAAAGGGGCAGTCTAGTCTGCAAAGGTGACCGTCCGACTGCACGTGGGTCTTTCACACACAGTGCCTCCTTAGGGACTCTGCAGACCCCCCCCCCAACCCA